AAGATTACATGTATCAGAATGTTAGTAGCCCAGCCAGTATTGCGTGGCAGGGAGTTGCAATATTTCTGAGTTATTGTTGCACAACCTTAACTGAGGAACTGTCACAAATACAGTCCCCGGTACCGATATTGTGCTACTTGACAAATATTTTAACTTTTCACAACTTATGATGGTTCAACAATGAGGATTGAGTACAAATTCATGCACAGTAACCAACTACTTTTTTCATGTAAGTTTTTAACTAAACTTCACATTATCTACAAAACTTGCAAAACCCCAATTCAAGCTTTACCACCATAAAAAAAATACCCCCGCCGCAGCAAACCTGCAGACTAAGCGAATTTCCATTTGACTGATTAGATTTACACTGAAATGTCTACTTAAAAATATAACATTTATTCCCTATTTAAATAGAATTAGTTTAACAAGTACTTAGGTTTGCTGCATCAGGGAGGGTAAAACTGTTTTTTTTTTTTTTGTAAAATGTTAATAGTTAGTAAGAAATAAAAACATTTTCCAAATTTGATCAAAATATGTTCATAAACAAGCAAACTACAACAGTTTACTTATTCTCCATAAGAATAACATTGGAATTTTAAATTTACAATTTTTTGGAATTTTCTCCGTAACCATTAGGCGTATAATAACGCTTGAATATACTAAATTATTTGTTTTTTTAAGCTCTACAAAATGATTTGGAAAGCAATTGCTAAATTTTATGTTTTTTGGGTCAAAAATGGGAAAAACCTATTTTTACCCCATAAAACCCCCCGTTCCCATGGTCCGATCATGCTGGATCGCTAGCTCGTTCGAATAAACGTAGGTTTACACGTTTGTACCAAATTTCATCAAAATCGGATCATTTTTGCTCGAGTTATCGTGCTAACGGACACATATATATATCCTATACTCTAATACGAGCAAAGTTTGCTTGTATGTATGTATGTATGTATGTATGTATGCTTGCACCAAGATCTCGAAAACGGCTCCGACGATTTTCTTCAAATGTTGTATATAGTTTATTTCTGGCCTAAAAACGAGTTTACTGCAATTAGAACTGCCATCAAAAATCTAATTACGTAGAAAAATGAAATTGAAAATCACATTTTTTTAACATTAGTCTTATGGGTTGCTAGGTAACCATGTTGGCTGAATTAAATAACAAGGAAAAAGTAAACAAAAGACTTGTAGCTTGTAATTTGTCTATCCACAGTATACTAGCAAAACAAAACACAGTACAAAAGGAAAAACATCAGTTGTTACTATTGAGCAAAGATTATACTGAAGATTACTAGATTCTATAGTCAAGGGTAGCAGTGTGGAGTGTGGGATCTGTTTATGACGATTAGATTACGGTATCTGCAATCCTTAAATGCTATGGAAAGGGAGGAAATCAGGTCCACGACATAGGAAGTGGTGAAGGAAGTAGTAAAGGCGAGCAGTCTGGAGTGTGGGAACTGTTTATGACGATTAAATTAAGGTATCTGCAATCCTAAAATGTAATGGGAGGGAGGAAAACAGGTCCATGACGTAGGAAATGGGGAAGGAAGTTGTAAGGCTAGCAGTGCAGAGTGTGGAAACCGTCTGTGGCATTTATGTATCTGCAATTTTAAAATAGTATAAAGAAGGAGGGCAAACAGGTCTACGACATAGGGAGTGGTGAAGGAAGTAGCAAGGGTGAGCAGTCCGGAGTGTGGGAATTGTTAATAACGATTAAAACAAGTTATCTACAATCCTAAAATGCTATGGGAAGGGAGGGAATCAGGTCCGCGACGTAGAAAGTGGTGAAGGAAGTAGTAAAGGCGAGCAGTCTGGAGTGTGGAAACTGTTTAAGACGATTAGATTAAGGAATCGGCAATCCTAAAATCCTATGGGAAGGGATGGAAAGAGGTCCGCGACGTAGGAAGTGGTGAAGGAAGTAGTAAAGGCGAGCAGTCTGGAGTGTGAAAACTGTTTATGACGATTAGATTAAGGAATCTACAATCCTAAAATGCAATGGGAATGGAGGGAAAGAGGTCTGCGACATAGGAAGTGGTGAAGGAAGTAGTAAAGGCAAGCAGCCCGGAGTGTTGGAACTGTTAATGACGATTAGATTAGGGTATCTGCAATCCTAAAATGCCATTGGAAGGGGGAGAAACAGGTCCACGACGTAGGAAGTGGTGAAGGAAGTAGTAAAGGCGAGCAGTCTGGAGCCTGGAAACTGTTTATGGGAACTACATTAAGGTATCTACAATCCTAAAATGCTACGAGAAGGGAGGAGAGGAAAACAGGTCCATGACGTAGGAAATGGTGTAGGAAGTAGTAATGCTAGCAGTGCAGAGTGTGGGAACTGTCTGTGGCATTTATGTATATGCAATTCTAAAATGGTATAGGGAAGGAGGGCAAACAGGTCCACGACGTAGGGAGTGGTGAAGTAAGTAGTGAAGGTTAGCAGTGTGGAGATTGGGAGTGGATTAATGTATCTGCAATACTTTTCAGAGTAAAGTAATAATTTTCCCCAAGCAAAGCTCGGTCCCCAGGTACTATATATATAAATACATAAATATATATATGTATATGAATTTAAAAGGATGGTGTTTTTGGCCTCTAGGGACCTCAAAACAAAAAAAAAAAATCGGTCCCGCGTCCAGGTCTTACCATGAGTACCACGGTAATAGCTTATTCCCTATATGGGAAATTCGCTAAAATTAAAATATAATTATGTGATGAAAAAAAACGTTCTTTGCACTGAAGATATTTCCAATGAAATATTTATAAAATATGGTATCAAAAGTAGAAAATAATTTGTATGAAAAATGTCTCTCATTAAACATTGTCTTCATTCAAATTCAGAAGTACCAATTGAATAAAAGTAATCACAGAGACAAAATCATATGTAGAAATATGTTGCATTAAAATAAATTAAACCATTGACTATTGGATACTGAAGTAGACTCCTATTTCCCATCTATGGGTGCGTTCACAAAGAAAGCTGGTTACAAGTAACTTACTTTCAGCGCTTGTTCCAAGCGCTTGAGAATGCTGTTGTGTGTTCACAACAAACGCTTGCATTTCAAGCTCATTGTAGTCTCAGCTCTAGTTGAGACAACATCTTCCTCAAGTGATGAAGAGTTATTTTTTTATTGAAACTGTAGAATTAAAAGGATGTAGAATTAGGAAGGTGTTCATGCAATTAACCGCGGAAGTTAATCACGTTTAATTACATCCTCAAGAAAATTGAAAGTGATTTAGTGAAGTTTTGGGGGGATTGGCATAAGCAACCTATCCATGCACCAGAACGAATTTTGGACCAATAAAAAAACCTAAAAAATACTTGAAGGGAGTTTTAAACACCCTATGTAGCTGATTAATTATGATGCAAAAAATATCGTGAGATATATTCAATTTTTTTAATTTTCTAGGTAAATAAAGTAAAAGTATACAAGTTTCATCTATAAAAAATCCAACACAACACTTAATTAATATTGAATTAAATGTGTTTGTCTATCATCTTGATAAATATATGTTATATTTGTCCTATTGGTTACGTTATTGAACATTCTAGGAAAAACCCACAATATGTGGGTAATATATTTTTTTGGAAATTGGAAGCTCTAAATACTTGAGCTATCAACTCATCGACATCCATACTGCACTGTTAGCTGTTTGTAACTGACTGGTTCGGTCAACAAGCGCCGGAAAACAAGTACGAAACGTTCTTGCGTGCTTGTCAGAGCTTGTAACAAGCGCTTGCTAGCCGGCACAAGCTTTGTCTGTGAACACACACGCTTGATACTATGTTAACTTTTCTCACGCCGGTTCGAGCTTGTAAGCGCTTGCCAACAAGCGCTTGTAACCAGCTTTCTTTGTGAACGCACCCTATATGGACCAGCTGTAGCCAATCTTTCATTAAAAAAGAACGTAGTAGTTGTGTGAGCCAGTCACAGAATACGCTAGTGACTAAAACTCTATTTTCTACCTTATTTTTTGTTGCTGGCCAAGTTGATGGGTCATAACGATTGATAGCTCACAATAAGTCATTCCATTAGTTTGAAATGTTAAAAAAGATTGTGTATTCGACAGAAATCAGCACAATCTGTCGGTGGCTCACATCAACTACGATGTTTTGGTTAAAAAACCGGCGTTAAACCTAGATACACGTTTGCACCCTCTAATCTCAGTAGTTATTTATTTATTATTTCATAGTTATTTATTATTTACTATGTAGTTTCAGAAGATTTTGTGGACCAACACTCTTAAGTACTATAAATTAATGTATCAGAATGTTAGTAGCCCAGCCAGTATTGCGTGGCAGGGAGTTGCAATATTTCTGAGTTTTTGTTGCACAACCTTAACTGAGGAACTGTCACAAATACAGACCCCGGTACCGATATTGTGCTAGACTTATCATAAATTGCAAATATTATGTAGCAATCATTTAATGTTTTGTTGTCAATACACAGGTGAACAAAAAATATTCGCCAAGACAATAAATTATCATTAATGATGTGATTATGGTATGTAAACATTGTAAACTTATTTTTATACTGTCAAAAATCAATCCTGGAGGCATGATAACTAAATTAATCTTACTGCTAGGACTTAGTTGCGATTTTACTCAAGCTCTAATTTTAATGACCGAGACAAAGCCATGCGAATGGAGGATTTTTCATGAGTCTAAACTATGATAAATGACAAGTTAAGTCAATTCTAACACTTTCAAGAAGCCTAAACTTGACTCCAAATTAATATTAAAAGCCCAACGAAATAAAAATCAAAATATGTTTGACAAAGTTAAATTGACTTGATCCAGACGTATGGCAACATGAAATGCAGTTTTTATTTTATGTAATAGACAGAAATCTTTATTGAAGAGAAGTATCAATTTGGAAATGAAATGAAAATCCTTCTTTATTGAGGCGAACTTAGGACCTCATGGTCCTTTCTGTAAACAACTAATAATAACAATAAACTATTAACAAAAATACAATATTGTACATATACACAATAACAGTATTGCAAACTGTATTAATCTTGGGTAATACTTGTAAGACAACAGCCTACAAGTGACCTTTAAGGTTAATCTTTGCTGTAGGCCGAGTTTTGACTGAGATAAACAACACTTTATTTCAGCTTCGATCCGGCCACTACTGTAACAACAATCAAATATATTAACGTTGATCTGTGATCAAAAGAAGTGATTAGGCTTAAGTTTTTGTTGCAAATGCAAGGGGGCTTATCTCTTATATTAATACGTGAGGGCTGTTTTTTGTGAACAAAACTCCTCTGTTATTTCTGGACCGATTTTAATGTTTGAGGTGTCAAATGATTCGTCTCAATTCGTAGATTTGCATAAAGGTTTTAGAATATAAAAAATATTACCCTTAAGGGCACAAGATGCTCTCAAAGGTCGCATTTCCCCCCATAAGAATTACATTGAAAACAAATTTAAAAACAAAAACAGCTGTACATAAAAATAAACTCACCAGCTTTTTTGGAGTAAATATTGATGTTTGTAATATGTATGAGGTTATAAACAAATCTAAACAGTCAATCAGTTTTGTTGGAAGAACAGAAAATTTCTTGAATTTAAAGGAGAAATATTGAAGACAGGAGGAGGAGACAATTAATAGGAGATCTTATACGTATGAGAAGAGTAGAGGATAGGCCTGGTCTCACAGTAAGGAATCCAGGTACACAATCACTTAGGGAGATGAATCATTTTGCCAGTTATGCTAAGCAACTTATTTTGGAAGTAAAAAAAAAAACATGAAGAATATACACATCGTGTTGTCACAGTGGTAAAGTAAACCTACCTAAAGTCAGATCAAAGAAATACATGCAAGAAATGTTTAATGGTATCAGCTTTAAGTCGGGAAACATTTGTAGAAAATACTAAAAAATAAGGCCGGGTCCAAAAAATGCTAAAATATTTTTACAAGAAGCGTTTATCTATAATTTCAAAGCGGTATTAAATAGCGTGAGCGTTTCAATTAGTTACGTTAGCATTTAGTCGGGTTTTTTAAACTCATCGAAAATTATGACTGTTATTACTGTAGTTTTAAAATAACTCCTGCATAATACCGGTACTTTACAATTGCTCGATTTCGAGCAACAGGTACACTAGTAATGACAATTCTGTGATTCTGACACATTTATAAGTAGGTACATTATAATAACTGATGAGAAATAAACAATTGGGATCAATATCCCGGGTTGATTCAATGTTTTTTTTTCCTTTTAAATTTTAACTTGAAACTAACATGAAGTTATTATGTTGACCATAACTGACATGATGGGCAAGGTTCAATTGGGGTTAAGGCCTACAGTAGAACCCCTATTAACGTCACTCTCAGGACCGGGAGCCTATTATGTGAATAGACAGATAACAGGAATCATCTTATAAACCTGTACGGTACAGTAAGTTGATTTAACCCTTTCAGTGCTATGAAACGATATATCGTTGTTTTAAAAAATCTCTAAGGGATATAGAGAGGAAGGTTATTTTAACAAAAAGTAGCAAAACGGCCATTGGTGACCTGCATGTTCATAGGATACACTAACAACCACTTAGCTAAAAGATTCGCCCAATCCGATGATTTCAAGGTGTATGTCTAAACCAAGGATTATGAACACCTCACTATGCCCCAGTGGTTGTAGTATATCGCTACAAACACACAGGTCACGAATTATTTGCCACACAGGACGGGATTCGAACCCGAGCAGACGAATGCCACTGGCCAAGTGACACACGCCCTAGTATTCTCGGCTATCTGTGCTTGAAGACTGAGGAGTCAAAAAAACCGGTATTTAAGCTGACGCCACTGATTGCGAACAGATAGCGCTACAGATGGTTGTTCAATGCGTTACTAGGTAGCAGTACCAGTTAGTCACGGACTATTTAGATGATATTTTTTAGTTGAAACACAACAGTGATCATAAATGTGTTCCTGAGACTTTGCTGCAAAACATTAGTTTCCCTTAAATGGCTATATTCCGATAACCTCATCCAACTAAATCAAAGTTAAATTCAATATTACATTGTAAACTATATGTCTTTTGATTTTATGAGATTTTGGTTTCAAACAATGCTATCAGAACATACAAATTTATAGGAAAACCAGGAAAATTACAACAAAAACTAAGTTTTATTTTATGTTTACTACAAATACCGGGATTTATCTTTGTTATATATTTTCTTATTGTCTTATTATTCAAAATTAGCCTAATTAATAAAATAGTGACAACATTACAGTTAAAATTCAACAACAGGTAATGGAATTGAAAGGCAAACAAAAAAGTCTTACGAAATATGAATTATTGGCCTAGCAATGAAAGGGTTCAAAGGTTTTGGAAGAAATTAAACCCTGTACAAGTGAATAAAACATATTTATGTTTAAATAATATTACTACAATTACTTACATACAAGAGTCATACAGAACTTTAATTTTGTATGTTGTACTCTTTAATGTTCGTAAAGTGTATAACAAAATTACATTTAAAAATGAAAATAAGTACCGTACTCTTTAGTTAGGTTACGGCTTTGACTATTAATACAACGTTACGTATAACAGAGTGATGGTTTATCGAGGTTCTACTGTATAGACTTGATTGTACTGCTTGGTACAAAATTTTAATTGGGGATTGTATGGTTGACATTTACCACTAAAAGCAAAAATACTTAAAACAGTGAAACCTCAATGGTTCCGGTTTGAAACTTTGTGGACCGAGGGAATAACAAACTATCAAAATGGAAGCTATAGATCAAGTTTATGGGAAATTTCCCCACAGGTTAAAACAGGAGGTAAAGCTAACAGATTTAATAAATAGTAGAAAATTAACAAATATCTTATCAACTTACATCACTACTACATTCTTTTCTTACTGTATAAAATAGTTTGTCATATTCGACTGCTTTTCACTTTGAATGTTAGAAACATTTTTAAATCAATCGGATTGTTGAATTATTGATTTTTTATTATGAAACGAATAAGATGGTTCTATTTTTTTACCTTAAAAACCCTGTCATCGGCCGCTCATATCATGTCATCATAGACCTAGTCAAACGATCAAGGTTCCACTGTATTATGATTCAATTGTGACAGTGCAACAATAGAATCCTCACATCACTAATCCACTATACCAACTTAAATTAAATCAGTCACGTTTTCATAAAGTTATTATAAATGTATGGCTCTTAATAACAGCAGCCTACTACTGGCTGATATATGCCAGGTCTATAATATAGACCAACTCTCAGAGCCATCGTGTGTATGAGTGGAGAACACTTGACACACAGTTGCTGTCCCACAGATACACAATCCCTTGCAGATAAAGTACTTGTATCTGTGGGTCACTATGGTCCCTAGTAAATGAAGTAGAAAATTAAAAATAATTCAATGAGTTTTCATTCCAGAGATTAGAGTTGGTTTTCATTTCATATTAACATTTCAATTTTAAAGGCATAATATTGATGCAAAAGATTGTTTTAGACAGTTTGTTTCATATGTTCTATTCGGGTATAATTATTACACAAAGATCTAAATAAAATAGTTAGATTAACAATCCAGATGATCTCATGGATTGAAATTGCTGTAATTGGTAATGAGTAGAATATTTAGTTTCTAAAAAGGCTTACTTTCATATAATGTATTTGAAAAACTTCAAAATGTATTAACCTAGGGTAATACTTGTAAGACACAAGTCTTCAAGTGACCTAAGGTTAATCTTTGCTTTAGGCCGAGTTTTGACTGAGCTAAACAACACTTTATCTCAGCTTCGATCTGGCCACTACTGTAACAATCAAATAGTACATTGATTTGTGATCACATGAAATGAAAATTGTTTCTTATTAGCACGACTTAGTCGTGATTTATAAGAGTAGAAAATACTTTAAAACATCATGGAAACCAACTCAAGGACGTATTAAAATAATTTTACGGAGACATTTTTTTCCCTTTCTTGTCTTAGAACACTAGGCACGAGCCAAGGTTTGTTTTTCACATTACTTTAGGCTAGACCAAGGGGTTGCGGCATTATCACTTAGATCAAATCCATCGTTGATTTGGTGGGTTTTGAACCCAGGACCTCAGGGACCAAAGTCCCGAGCTCTAACCACTACACCAGCTTGCTCCCCACTCGCTTGGTATGGTGATATTAAAAGCAAGGAATATTTATAATTATACATCCTTACTTTTGTAACTTGTATAGTTTTAAGATTATTTAAAAACTAAAAAAAAAATATGATAAAACTACTCGATGATTGTGTAGAAAGTTCTCATTCATTTAAACAGTTGTGGTTTTAAGATTTTTTGATGACTTCCAATCTCTTGGAGTCCATAAAAATAGTGACACTATTTCTTGATTGAATTGTTACCTCGTACTGGTTATCTCAGTAATTTGTTTCATCATGCTTTTCAAGAGTAGCAAATACTTCAAAACATCATGGAAACCAGTGCCAAAAGGGAATTAAAATTATTTTGTTATTAGGAGCAAGAAATAAAAGGTTACACTATTGTTAAGAATTTTGCAATCTTACTTAGACACATTAAAACTTTAACGTGTAGTCTTCATGGTGCTGAATTTTATAGTATAACAGAAATACTCAAAATTGAGGGCAACATAATCACAAAAGAACTACTGAAATTGGTTAGGGAAAAAATTTGAAGCTGAGTTGAATAAGGAGCTAATGGATTTTAATCATCATGCAGAATAGAAGTCGGTCACAAATCGTCTTCAGAGTGGAAAATTGACCCTGTAGAAAAGGAATATCAATCACAAATATGGACAATAATATATGCAATACCTTCAAGCGCAAAATATGACCCCACAGAAGTAGGAATATAAATATTTAAATCCTCCGGCGTAAGAGTAGACATTATCGTTGTCTTCTCCGACCGCAGCGAAATCCTGAACATCTATCGCAATTTGTAGACATCACCATCTGCCAAGGTCACAGAAAATTATTGTCTCTTGCAGTCAAGAAAACGATATCAACATCTTCCGCTGTTGTGTATTACATCATTTTGTCTTCCGCAATTGAGGTTCAATTTTTCAATTGCAAAATCTTGGCAGGTAAGTAAAAAGCCAAGGTACAGTACCTGGTGGCAAAAGTGTGTCCGTTGGTGTCCTTGATGTGTACAATGTCGAAGGATCCAGGGTGACGTTCTCGGTTCACCACAGTCCCGACTCGACCCAAGTTACGGCCTCCTGTGATCATGCACAAGTTGCCTGCAACAAAAATTCAATTCATCAACGTTGGGTTTAATCCATCACACAGGTATTTGTCACACAGGATGGTATAGGATTTATTGAAATTGTCTCTCATCAAAATGTTTCTTCATGGTTTTCAGAAGTACCAATTGAAAATATTTTAATCACTGAGACATTAATAAAAAATCATTATCTGCCTTGGAAGTAAATATTTACTGTTTAAAAGTTCTGAATAGGTTTACAAAACATATAAGATACTGCAGCCAAAGTAAATGAGTAAAATATTACAGTGTTTAAAAATGTGTTTAAAATGTTAAAACCCATGAACCTATACAACCATAAAGAAAATTCTCAAAGACAGAACATAATACCAACATTAGCAGTTTAAATTCAGTGGAAACCCCATATAAGATACTGCAGCCAAAGTAAATGAGTAAAATATTACAGTGTTTAAAAATGTGTTTAAAATGAACCCATGAACCTATACAACCATAAAGAAAATTCTTTAAAGACAGAACATAATACCAACATGTCATTAAATAACTGAAACTAACAATTATTATTTGGAAAAAATTAACATATTTACTTACAACTAAAGCAGTTTAAATTCAGTGGAAACTCAATAAAAGACCCTAAATCATCATTCCACATCAACAGTGTCTATCCTCATCTAACGTTTAGAAGTATTAATTAAAAAAAAAAATGCAGACACAATTATTAATTCATTAATGTAACCTGTTAATGCTTTAAAATGTGAAGTAATTGATTGTAGAAAATGAATTTCTCAGTTATAAATTTTATAATTAGGTCTCTCATCATCATGTTTTCTTCATAGTTTCAGAAGTACCAATTGATATTAATAATCACAGAGACCAGTAACAAATGTAGAATATAATGTACTACTTGGTACCATACTAGAATAAATTATTCTGAATAATTTTTCGGTATTGAAAAAAAAAAAACATAAGTGAAACAGCATGATCATTAGTAAAGCTCACAACTGTATCAGAATATTAGTAGCCCAGCCAGTATTGCGTGGCAGGGAGTTGCAATAGTTCTGAGTAGCTGTTGCACATTTTACTAAGGCTCGATACAGCTGCACCAACCTCGATAACTTGTGCTAGGGTGATTAAACACAGCAGTGAATGACTATTTGAGTCTCCACTTGTATCAGACATGGGGAAATAGGCTATTAAGATACAGTGTACCGAACGGAATTGTCACATCTTGTCCATATTCTTCTGTACTTCCTGATGATAAATTTTAATGTATAGTGTTCAAACACACTGTCGAAATAACATTTCATGAAATATAAGAGTCTATGTGAAAAACATGTAAATCAAGTTAACCACAAAGCCTACTTCATGACATGATCTATTGCATGGTTGTATGATGTTTAATGATCGAATAAATCATCTATCTTGAACAAAATTAAAACTATGACTATGTATATGGATGGCACATTATGCATACAAATAATAATATTAAATTTGTTTTTATAGGATATAATTTATCTCAGTAGATACTTAAGAATTAAACTTATTATTAATAAAGCTTTGTGAGATAAGAGTCTAAATGTATCAGAATGTTAGTAGCCCAGCCAGTATTGCGTGGCAGGGAGTTGCAATATTTCTGAGTTGATGTTGCACAACCTTAACTGAGGAACTGTCACAAATACAGTCCCCGGTACCGATATTGTGCTACGGTGCTACTTAACTAGGTATGCGGTCTCAGGTCCGCTAATTGGGTGGAGCAAACAATAACATAAAGAAATATTCTTTTTTTAAATACATCTTGTTTACTAATAAAAAATATGATAGATTACAACATAACAACTCAATTCGATCAGCTCATTAAAAATATTCCCAAATGGATGGAACATTATAATTTAGTCGTCATTGGCGCACAGCTGTTTCCATATGAAACACGCATCAAAACAGGCTCAGATATTTCAATAAAATGAGAAGACTACTTGAACAATAATAAAACTGTGTTTTTATAAAAACCTATTTCAGATAAAATTTCATTTTGATATTTTGCTAGTAAGATGAAAACATGATTAAAATTATTTGTTAAAGCTCTAAATTAGATTAAATGATAATAAAATCAATAAAATACTGTTTATGTATTTGATCAAAGGTAGTTACTAAATGCACTGTAATACCTTCTGTGTTTAATTTGATCAACTGTCTTCATCCAAATGGTTTTTCTTTTGAACTGTATTTAAGTTGTATATCGGCTTGTTTTTATAAACAAATGTTTAGATGATGTTTACATTTACTTAGTTATTTCGTAACCATCATGGCAACCTATAAGCATAATGTTAACATTTTCAAATTGCAAGTTAATTGTAATTGGGAATTATTTAAATTGAAATTTTTTTGTAAATCCTTCTTATTGGCTGTCAAAATGAATGAATGAATGAATGAAATAATGTTTTATTTCCCATAAATTATATACATATAATTACATCTATACTTATTTAATACGCAAGCAAGTTTTTTGTGACAATTACTCCTCCAAAACTACTGAACTGATTGACATGTTTTTGGTGTCATTGGAAAGAGCGTAACGTGAAGTTGTGCAGGAAACTTTCTTTTTAGGGAAATAATGAGAGAGTGAGGCCATGGAGCCCTTTAAAGTTTCGTATTTCTCCATAAGATTTGGAAACAAAAATTGTTATGAAACTCCAGCTGTTGTCACAAATCACAAGTGAGAAGAAGAGCATATGATAATTGTAAACAGTCAATAAGTTTGCTAATTTAACAGTTTGCTACAAACTTGCTGACTTGGTTGAAATTCGTTTTAAAATAATGCCTGTAATACTTAGCAATTGCTCGAATTCGAGCAACAGGGACACTAGTTGTATTTAAATAGGCTATCATTGGTAAGTTAAGCTAAAATATGTAGGCTACAGCTATTATTGTATGATGGGGGTTACAAAGCATGAGGATGATCTCAATGAGCTGACCTAAACAAATATTTGTTCAATTTTTTAAATGTTGAGAAGACTTTTGACAAAAATTTGTTGGTGAAAAAACAATTTCAATAATTATAGATTAATACAGTAGAACCATCAGCGGTTTTGTAGTCGTGCAGATCTGTTTAAAGATTCTGAAGAGTAAAACAGGCCTTAAAGTCATCCAGGTATAAAGGGAAAATGTCTCTGAATAATAGTTTTGAAGAAAAAAAACCCTCATTTGTGTATTTTTGTTCAAGATTCATTCTTCTTTGGTTAATTTGGTTTCTCAGTTAAGAGTTTTCATCATTCTTTTTCAAGAGTAGCAAATACATAAAGCATCATTGAAACCATAGGCTATTATAATATCAACATAGAATTTGTTTACCACTTTTATAGCTAAATCTGAAAAAATCTTAAAATGAGCTAAAACACAGATTAAACAAACTCCTATTTAGTAGATTTGTCATCCTTAATAATCAGCTAAAAACAGTTTTATTATTAGTTCCGTCTGGTACCGCTAGGATCGTGTTTTTGTTGAAAATTTGTTTCTTGTTTAAGTTATTTAAAATTGCGTTTAACCAAATAAAACGATCCTAATCAAAAACAACATTAGGCTATAAATACAATATCCTCTGGCTAACTTAACAAAATGGCTTTTAAGTGAGTGAAAAGTAGAACTTTCAAAATCTAATCAACGGTAGACTAGGGTAATACAGAAGATTTGGTTGTGATTTTTTAACATCTGATCTTCCTTGTGTTATTCTACAAACCCTCTAGACAACTGATTTATGAGAAATGGTGTGATATAACCAAGCAGGAGGACTGTACACTGTATTGGGTAGCTTGAGACAACACCTATTGCTGCACCTGACTGTACCCAGAAAAAAACGTGTCAGACTTTTCTCCATTTAACTGTACTTTGTTATTGTTCAAGTGCCATTCAATAGTTTGTCTACCATTTATACCTGGATATCTCTCAGCTGAATGACTCAAATCGGAGAAAGCTAATGGTCCAATAACATACAATCTAAAAAATAAAATAAAAGACAACTACGGTACTCTTTAAAATTACTACTTTTAAATATTTAGGCTACAAAGGGTTTACTTATTATTTCCCGTGTTGTCCATCCTTTCTGTTTATTATTTTAACCTTGTCATGGTTTAAACAGGACAAGTGGATAATATTGTGGAGTAGGCTATGCATTACACAAAATGTATTTATATTTTAAAACATAATTTTTCTAAAGGCTACCTGTAGGCCTAGTTTATAATACTTGATCGATATTGGGTAAAATTATTGCAGTACACAGTTAACTTCACACAAAGGCTGTCTTTATCACCATATAAAGGCAATAAATGTATGGCTCAATACTATAGTCAGGACAGAGGTCCAGACCAACTCTCCGAGCCACCGAGTGTGCTAGCGAGAGTCACAGCCCAGAACGGGAGGAGACAAACGCTCTACACACACTATTGCTGTCCCACAGAGGTAACGCTCACAGGCCAACAGCTCTGTGCGCTGACTTATCTGTGGTTAAAATCCTACATTTCTGGTATATTTCATCAATTTTAATCTAGTCTAATGGTGAGCTCTGCTAACTTTGTGTTATACCTTTGACTACTGATAGCCTAGTAGACAACAATTAATGAAGTTGTAGTTGGTTTTTAAATGAAAATTGTGTTGTTAAATCAAATCAACAGTGTGCTGCAGTCAATTATTGATTTTTGTGGAACATGCCAATTTTTTATCAACCTTTCAAAACTGAAGGGGAACTGAGTGTGTAAACTTTAGCACTTAGTAGAAAATAAATGGCTTGTGTTCTCAGAATCACAGATTGTTTCATAAGAGGTCAAAGGATTGGCTCTGTATTTCAACATCACTGAACACTTGGGAGATTACTTTAATCAAAAGGGAAAAATTAATTTTAATGATTATAATGTTTAAAAAAGTTGTAGAATGTTTGTTCACCAAGTTGACGGTAAAAAGATGACTAATCCCCACAATGTGATGCTTCGTCATACTCATCATCAGTTCTTTACCTAGTTTTATTCTCTTAAAATAAGTCCTACTCAGACCTGTTTAAATAGCCCAGTTGTTCAGACTAAGTGGATCAGGATTAGCGTGGCTTATCATGGACAAAGCCGCATGGATTTATATTTTAAGAAAATATAACTTTTTATGTTTTTAAATAACAAGGTTATAAAAGTCATTCAATTTAATAACCAGAGGCAGAATGTCACAAAATATTCACTTAAAACTGTGTGCTACTGACAAAAACAAATCTCACCAACTAGTATTCCGGATTGCATTATATTAACAAACAATTATAAGTGTCCTCAGATTGTATAGTTAGTTTCACTAAGTTCAAAGGATTGGCTCTGTATTTAATCATCATAGAACACCTATCAAATTTCATATTTACAATAAAGTTATTGTAGGTAAGCCTATAGGCCTATACTCAAATGATAATAAGGATCAAAAGTAAGTTATTCGAGTAAGAGCTCTACACAATCGATTCAACACAATGTATTCCCTTTGGGTAATACTTGTAAGACAAAAGTCTCCAAGTGACCTTAAGTGAAACATTATTGTTGGCCAAGTTTTGACTGGAGTAAACGAAAGTCTACTACAGCTTCGATCTGGCCTGTGAAACTATCAAAACTTGTACGATCAAAACTTCCAACTGTGTAGAATAAGTATGCAAGACTTTAGAAATAAGAACATGTAGGCTAGTTATTTGCTGAAATCCTAAACAAAGCAAGAGTACATTACATATTGCAACATAAACATACCAGAGAAATCAAATAAAGGCATCAATGTGAAGCACCATATTGTTCAGAGTTCTGACAGTAGAGGTTTTATGTGAAATACAAATAAATTTTACTAATTTTAAGATTTTACTAATCAAGTCAAAACAAGATGAATTTCTGTTCTCAGATGAGTAAGGTTTATTTCATGGGACATCAAAGGATTATGCCTTAGATCTCATCTATCATCACTGAACAGAAAACATGGCATCATGTATAAAATTATAAAAAAAAACATTCTCTGGTAAGAAATGAAGGAGACACAAGTTTGGTAAAAATATGTTGTGAAAAAAGGTTAACTTTGAGTGAAATCGCTGAAAGATGGCATAGCCTGATTTTACCTAGTCCAAAAACAGTGCATGATGAACAGCAACAAAAAACAAAAACTCTCGATGAACAAAATCTAGAAAATTATTCATCACAAATTTATCTATGTTGAGAAATTGTGAGGGATATAAAAATTAAAATTCTGTCCTCAGATGAGTCCTTACTCATCACTGGACATCAAAGGATTATGCCTTAGATTATCATCACTGAACAGAACACTAATTGTTTACAAAATAGTATGAGATCAGACATTGGAAAAGATGTCATTAATTAAGTTCATAGATTTATTTAATATATCGTAGCCATGATTTTACCGATTAATGATCTACAATTAAATTATTGTTACGCACGCCTTTGACACAATCAATGATTGATCTCTAATGATTGTGATGGAAAATCCAGCCAACATTTATGAATAACAATGCAGACAGCTTTTAAGAAAATAATTCTATGAAATACTTTCAAACTTGGGGTGGCTGTGGCAATGGCGGATCGTACTGAAGTGGTAGTGTGTCCCTGTTGCAATAAATTGTGCGAGGATAAGGAAAAAGCGCTTTTTTGTGATGGAATGTGCGGTTCCTGGCACCACGCAAAGTGCGTCAACATTTCTATCAAGAAATACAATGAAATATGTAAGCTAGAAGACGTAATTAAGTGGTTTTGCGTGAGGTGCGATGATAGGGTGAAGAACATGATCGTACTGGACAGAAAGCAACCGGGTATCATCAATGAGATATCAGAGATCAAGGAACACGTAAGTCAGTTTACGAAGCTTGGACAAAAATTGGAAAGAAAAATTAACATTCTTATCAACTATAGCCTTAAAAACAAAATTGGAATAAATCATCTATTAAATTCACACAAGCCTGAACTCTCCTTAACTCTGAATGAAACTGACATGTCTTGTCTTGATGTCGATGTCGAGGCAGTTTTGGCAGATGCTGGAGCATCGAACACGCAAACTGTCGGTCTACGTCCACGGAATGAACCGGAGCGGGTCAACGGACTGGTTCGAGACCAACCCGGAGTAAATGGATCCGAAAGGAGTGAAGCTGAATCTGGAATGGGAATGGTTGTACGAACTGAAACTGAAAGTGAAAATGAGATTTACGTGGCTGCGGATGTTGGGGACAACACTACTCGTGCAGAAGATACAGTTTTAACCTCAAAAGACTTAACCCCAAACAAGAAACTTACTTATGCAAAAGCCTTAGGGAGTAAAAAACCTAAAGGAAAGGTGGTGGAAAGTGCTAAGTCTAAAGTATTAAACAGACAGGAAGTCATTATAGGGACTTGTGGGGAGCAAACTAATCTTAAACCTGCCGGAAATCAAGCTTTGTTCTTTATATCAAGATTGTCACCAAATACGACTAAAGAAGGACTATCCCAATTTTTGGGTGATAAGGGTGTAACTGACTGTGAGTGCATTGAACTTGGATCAAGGTTCAAAACATATAAATCCTTCAAGATAGCACTGCCTGAAAACCTAGCTGACGTGATCCTCAATCCCAAGTTCTGGCCTAAGGGAATCCTGGTAAGAAATTTCATTCCCAAAAAACGAAGTTCTGTACTACCCCACTCTTTTTTAGGGAGGACTATTTACAGGTCAGTGGTAAAATAGCAAACCATGTGTTACCTAACCTAAAAGATGGACCTAGGCTAGAGACTGATAGTGATAGTTGTAGTCCCCTCGAATCAGACCCCCAGACTTGTAATAGTAGGCCTAGGCCTCTTAGTGAAAATAATATTGTGTTGAAGACAGAGTTGTCCCATTCCACTAATTTTAAAGTAGCTGCGTTAAATGTTCAATGTCTAAGGAACAAAAGTGAAACACTGTCTATATTTTTACATGAAGTTAAGTCTGACTTTCTTTGTTTAACGGAACATTGGTTAACATCGGATGAGAGTGACTGTTATAAGAATCTGCTTGACTTAAAACTTGTAAACATTTACTGTCGTAAAATTCATAAAAATGGAGGTACTGCTATATTTGCCAAGTCAAACTATGAATGCAGGAAAATTGACCTCGATACCTTTTGTCTAGAACTTGACTTTGAAGTAGCAGCTATTCTGATTGACAATACTGGTACCATATTATTGTGTGTCTACAGATCCCCTAACGGGAATTTCAATAACTTTATTGACCAACTGGACCAATGCCTGACTCATGTCTCGGGCCTCAATCCAAGAAACCTGATTTTGTGCGGGGATTTTAATATCCATCTTGAGTGTCCGTCTACTGAGGAGTCAATCTTTGTAAACCTACTCAGATCCTATGGACTGTATGTGGCATCCCGTCAACCAACAAGAGGGACGGCGTGTCTTGATTCTGTGGCGTCAAACTTCGACTCTTGGAAGGTGAAAGCTGAGGTTGTTCCATCGCTCGTGGCCGATCACGATGGTGCTGTGATCCTGAGTGTGAATTGCTCTGAGGTAAGCCTTAATTCTAACCCTTCTTGGCTTAAGGACTACTCTATCATAAAGCGACCCATCTGTATGGAAAATTTGCCTCTGTTTAGGTATGAGCTCTCTAATGTGGATTGGAGTACCCTGTACACATTGACCGAGCCTAAACTTGCTTTTGAGCTTTTCTCTAGTATATTTTTTGATGAATTTGATCATGTTTTTCCAGCCAAATTATATAACCCCAAGAGTAAAGTCTGTTCCGTTGGCTCTGGTTCAAGGCATAACAAATCAGCCAATTGTTGGTACACCCCTGAACTGAGGAGAATGAGAAATTACATGGCTTTTGTTCATGACCTGTATAAGGGCTCCAGTGATATGTGTAGGAAAGGGCAGCTCTATTCTCTTTATTTGGAGATCAAGAGGAACTATAGGGTTAGAGTCAATGTGGCCAAGAAATCCTTTAATGCAGAATCCATCCTTAGTGCCCCAAACCCATGTAAAGCTGCGTGGGACATTATCAATAAAGAAAGAGCGCCAGGTCCCGGGCCTAAAATCCAAGCATCCCCTGATGAGTTAAATGAATATTTTACAAGTGTGGCTGGAAACATCATCTCTGATCTACCTGTGTTGCAGACGGATCCTCTGGACTCTGTGCCGGACTACTCCTCCGTCCATTCATTTACCTGCTGGAATAGGGTGAGTGTAAGAGAGATATCCCAAATGATTAAGAATTTCAAAGACTCCAAGAGCCAAGATGTCTATGGCCTTTCTACACATGTCCTCAGGGCTGTTGCAGATCTCGTGGCCGTTCCTCTCACGCACCTGGTCAACTTGTGCCTGGCTCATGGATCTTTTCCGGACTCTCTAAAGAAGGCCCGTACTGTGCCCATCTTCAAGAAAGGGAACCCCGCACTGATGGAAAATTTTCGCCCCATTTCTATCCTCCCTATCTTTTCTAAGGTGATGGAGACTGTGATGAAGAGACAACTCCTCTCATACTTTGAAAATAATGGCCTACTGGTGGACTCACAGCATGGCTTTCGTAGTGGTCGATCTACCACCTCCGCACTCCTGAGCCTGGTCGACACCATATCCCAGGCCTTTGAGGAAAATGAATCGGTCCACCTCAGCCTTTGTGACCTCAGCAAGGCTTTCGATGTTGTGTCACATGACATCCTTCTGGCCAAGATGAGAAAGTATGGTATCGGTGGCGCAGTTTTCTGCTCTCTTGCGGACTATCTTGGCAACCGCAAACAAATAGTAACAATTATGGGTGCTTCTTCTGCTATAGGCTCTCTTCCCCATGGAGTTCCGCAGGGATCGGTCCTGGGCCCTCTTCTCTTCACAATAATGATCAATGACCTTGCTACAACCAGCCATGCCCTCCTTTTTGCAGATGATACCACCTTGGTCACAAAGGGGAAGAACATCGACCCGCTGCTGGAGGAGGCAGACAACACCCTGAGGCTGGCCAAGGACTGGTTTATAGCCAACAAGCTTAAGATCAACGAGGAGAAGACTCAGATCCTTTTATGTTCCTTGAAGATCGGTCTTGAGGAAAACAGCGTGAAGCTGCTTGGGTTCTGGATGGATTCAAAGCTAAGTTGGCACCACCATATTGAAAAGGTATGTGTAAAGCTCTCTAGAGTTCTCCACCTTTTAAGGAAGCTTAGAACCACCATTACCAGACCGTATTTGCTAGCGGTGTATCATGCGCTGTTTCACAGTCACCTCACGTATGGCCTGATTCTGTGGGGCCATTCTCCATGGACACAGGAATTACTTCTGCTACAGAAAAAGGCGCTGAGGATAATAACATCTTCTGGCTACAAAGCGCACTGTCGTCCCATCTTCCTGGAGCTGGGTGTGTTGACTGTTTATAGCCAGTATGTCCTCAATGTCTTGATCCTGCTGAAGGTTAATATTCACCATTTTGTTGTGAGAGACAATATTCATAGTCACCATACCCGTCAAGCTTGTGACATTGATTTGCCGAGATGCCGCCTAGCCCGCTCACTGAAGAGCTATCCTAGGTCTGCGATAAGGTTTTTTAATTCCTTGCCGGTGCATGTACGCGACCTGGACCTAGACGATTTTAAGACGGCCCTA